CAGCTGGAAAATGGCTGGGGAGCAGTGGAAAATACGGAAACTATGCACGGGAATATTTCATTATGTGTATACGTATACGAAGTACACATGTACATTGTACACGTCGGTGCACAGAGAGAAATGGCATGACCCAAAAATACATGTAACTATAATTATTGTACGAAAGCATAGAAGGAAAGGATAACTTATGAATCAAAGCATAGCAATTGTCAAATATTCTTACAATTCTTCAAAAGCGATAGTTTTGATCACCTGAAGATAGCTTGTATTATTTATTTGTTGTTATCTATACGTCATCTATTTGTATTCAGCATGAATGAAACTATTGTTACTACTGTTTTTATGCATTTTTTTTTGTGCATGCGTGACTTTTCCGAGCCAGCGAACTCTGCATGTTTAGGCCCAATAACGGAATTGAACGAACGCACAATAGTTGGCAATCAAGCGAGTTGAGATGGGGTAGGTTAGGGTCATTCCACGCATCAGGGATTGGCTTGGGGCGCAGTTCTCCATGGCGCTCGCTCCCGATCCGAGTGGCCGCCCCCAAGTTCCCAAATCCCCATTCCCAGATGATAAATCGCAGGCTGACATCTCCATTGCATCTGCATGTGTCAGCCGCTCATTAAAAAGGTATTCATCATTATGGCGACCGCCGTTGCAGTTGTCGCACCCAAAGTGAAAATGCCGCCAAGACTGGCTGCGAGAATCGGTATCTCGTATCTTTTGCGGCGGCGTGTTTGCTGTCAAAATGCATTCCAACTGGGGGGAAAAGTGGGGCTCCTCCGATGTTTTCATTAATTTCAATGGGGGTAAGGTACAACGACTTTAAGGCCCGAATGATCGATGTTAATGAAGAGTGTATCTTTGGGATTTTCGCAACACGCAATCATAGCTTCATGAACTGATGGTTTGGCATTTTGGGATTATAAATCGCTTAACTAATTCAAGGCAGCGATAGTAATCCCCAGTAATGATCGTTAGATTGATTTCATAAATTATGTTCGGTGCAAATGCAACATTTCCTGGTATTGGTAAGAGGTTATTCACTACTTCCAAGTCTAATTCGCAACTTGATCGTTTAGCGAAGTAGTTATGTTAGATTTATAGCCAAATATAGATGCCAAGGTGGCTAATTGATGGCATGAAATAAAACAAGCTTATGGCGCAAAACGTGTTGGTATGCAAATCTCTAGAGCGAATGTCTATCATTAAAAATAAACGTGATGGCAATCGTAGTAATGGAAATAACATTATGCAGTTTGTGCATCTGTTTTCCTTTAATTCTGACTGATATCCATTTTAACTTCATCCAGTTGTGCATTTGTTCGCATAAGAAACCACAACCAGATTGAAAGAACTGAAAACCTTTTAGTCACTATCAAGTTACTTGCTTTTAATGTGAGAGTATCTCGGTTTCGCTGTGAACTTGGCCATATGCGGCATGTATCGAGGTGCAATTGTAATGCTCGGGCTTTCTTCTCCCCATTTTATTTTCGTTATTGTGAAATTGTTCAATAATTTTCCTTTTTCTTGTCCCGTCCCTGCTGTCATCTTGGGCCCCTTTTCGAGATGAGATGGGATGCGTTATGCGATATGTGCGCCACTTTGGCTTATGATGGAATTGACACTTCAGTTTCTGTGACACACGAAGTGCGGGACGCCCATCAAAAACAGACCCGGGGCTCTGATACATACTGTAAGCTTAATTCCCCAACCCATCCATCCATCCAATGCGAAGTAAAATAGAGAGATGCCAGATAGTGGAGGCAGACGCACTTGAAATGCATAAAATGGCATTTTCTTTTGTGTGTGCAATGAATGCTTGGGCTTTTGCCTCTTTGGTGGCTGTTTTTTCTTCGAGTGGAGTGGGAGTGTGGATTTTTACGGCCAAGTGGAGTTGGGGTTTTTAGATGCATTTGCTAGTGCTAATGGCGCATTTATGACCACAGGGTTGCAATCGCAAACTCAGGGTTGTGAGTGTGGTGGTCTATCAGTCGACCAATTTGTCCTCTCGTCACTTGGCATAATAAACTCTAACCCCAATCGCACACATATGCATGTAGCTTTTGTAACAGCTGAATAAACCCCTGCGTAAATTGTTTTATCATCACGAAAAGTTTCAGTTTGGATTTCCGCTAATTGCCAAAGAGCAGCCCTGAAGTTTGCCTTGGTTTCATTTCATTTTCATTTTATGCCTTTTCTTTTGTGTGTAATCTAAGCTGAAAAACGGCGGGGGCACTCTATATAGCCTACATACATAACTGTAAGTTCCCACTGCCTCACGCTTTGTTGCACCACATTTCCTTTAACCCATAAAAACCAGGCACATGCGCAGCGTCGAGATGTAAAAGATACAGATACATCCGATATGGCTGCCAAAAGGCGGAAAACAATGGGAACAGGGCGAAATGAGTTTGAAATTGAGAACGAATGAAGAAACTGCCGGCGGATATATCGTTGTGGTTCTTAATGTTGGCGGCGTTACTCTTGTAAGTCGCACGAATCTTCCTCCCGTATCAATCATAATTAGGAGGCCAGTTTCTGTAAGTTTTGAGGAGCACTAAAGTTTTCCCGACTCTCAAGCGCACACAGGCCTTAAACATCCCAATGACTTTAGGTTTTACGCTCGTGAGAATCCATCAGCATCGTATGTTAGGCATACACAGAGAATAATAATTTTTAAATGTGTTCAAATGTGGAAATTGCAAATAAGTTATGAAGGGAGAACCAATTTAAAATGTTTATTAGCTGGAAGCTGTAAATTAGCAGTTAAGTGAGTGGGATTTTAAAATTCTTTGGAAAGAACTCAGAACAATAAGACATATTTTTTTAAATATATCAAATATATAAATTTGTGCATAACAAGAAAGTGTAAAAAACAATCAAGCTTCCACTAGCTTGTTTATTTGGTATATAATTTGCTAGGAGTAAAGAAATAAATAACTAAAAGGTCATAAGGCAAAACGAAGTTGAACAGCAAATCTCGAGAATCTCATCAGAACATTAAAGTCCCACACAGAACATTTTGAAGACTTTTTTTTAAGACTTCCAAAATAAACCGACTTAAGTCTGAACTTTAATCAGGACTTTAATGTGGTTTTTATTTTCTTCGAGTGTTCTGCATGCAGCTGCACTTGCCTCCATCCGACTTTTCGGAGCCCACATCCCAACACATCAAATGTTTAGTGCTTAATAAAGTGTGTTATGTCTTTTGTGTAATTATTTTTAGCTTTAGTCGCGCTTGAATGCCGCTTTAGGAAAGAGGGAAGTCGAGGGGAGGGGAAAGGTCTTACAGACGTTTCTAAACGAACATTATCGTGTGTGGGCCCCCAAAACACGGAGATCTTAAAGGTTTGGGGCCAAAGCTCCGAAAAAACACCCCTTCCACTTGGCTTGATGCTTATGTATATCTGCTAGATACATTTGTACATATATGTAGACCCATGGTATGTAAATGCGAGAGTTCCACCTACAAGGTGCTTTAGGCTTTTGGGCTTTTGGGTTTCTATTTGCACAGGTGTTTTTAGCACCTGGGTTCATGGCTGCCTGATGTGTTTGGGGCATTAGTTATCATCATCGTACGCCTCCGGGGGGCGTGTCACCGGTAAGTGCTAAAAGGCATTCGACTGCACTTTTCTGTAATAATTAGCACATCATGACTTGTAAATAAAGGCCCTCCGTGCTGGACATCGTTTTCCGTGGAACAAACTTTACCTGCTCCACATAAATCGAGGCCCTCTAGATTATGAAGAACGTATCCCAAATGCAACCTTATTTCATTCAAAGCTGCTCATGTTACTAAGCACATTGATACCATCCAGTAATACAGAAATTCTTATTTATACCCGTTACTCGTAGACTAAAAGGGTATACTAGATTCGTTGATAGATAAATTATTCTGACCACAAACTTTGTCGTTTTCTTATGTTTTTCCATCTCAATGCTAAAATTTCGATAGTTTGGCGCAAACTTTCGTTTGTTTTTCCATTGCGATTGCTTTTCCCACGGAAATCATTTGGCAGATGGCTTTTTGATTGCTCTGGCTGCTAATTTTTGGAGAGGTAATGGCCCGCGAGCCAATCTCGAAATTCGAATCGCATCGAAGCATAGTTCAATTTTCGCTTTAGGCCAAACGAAACCGGTCCACAAGATGCTAGCCATCAGCAATCAGCTAATAATAAAGATTTTAACCTAATTGGCTCATTTAACGCTGAACAAAATCATTATAATAATAATGACGATGACTGATGACTGCTGCTCGCTTGAGTTGAGTCGCAAAATGATGGCCTTCGGAAAACTGGAGAGGGAGTGTATCGCAAGTCGCCAGAAATTAATTATACAAAAGTAAGTTTTGCCACTGCAACGTTCCTTTTTCTTGGCTGTCTCTTTGTTACTCGCCCATTTTTGTCAGCGATTTTGCAAATTGAAAAGGTTTCCCCACCGCCTCAACGTCCCACCGCCACGACCTGCCCCCTCGACCAATGACCTTTATCGCGAAAGTCATTAACAAAGGAATTGGGGCATGGCAAGGAAGCAGTCGAAGTCGAAGGACGACTAAAAAGGACAGCATTGATAAAGTGGAAGGAAACACATAAAAGCTGCTGGACATAATCGTATCCGCGGGCAAAAGGGGGGTGGTCTACACACAGAGAAAAATGTCAGCTCAAAAAATGTATTGCAATTCCTAGATACTTAACAAGCTGGTTCGTTTTACAAATGTGTGGAATGTGGCTACTTAAAAATGCAATCAAAAACGTTCTGATAATCCTTTGGGTCAACAAATACAAAATGAAATTCATAATACTTGTTGTTTTGTTTAGACTTATTTTTTTAATATTTTGTATCATAAGTTTTTTGTATCTAAAACTATATATTCCTTTGAGAATGAAGATTCAATTATGGGAAATTATACTTTTGTCTAAATACCTTACTTTGTATTATTTTGTGATAATAGATAATAGAATTTTTCCAAGTGCCTTGGCATTTTCTTGGTGACTTACTTGCGTGCCAGGCGTTTCCTTATTCCCGCGAACATTTTGGGTTCTCCTTGGGCCGCTCGCCTTTATCCGCTTTTATGTCCGTACTAATGTTGTATTGTAAATTAAATTGCCGATTTCCGGGGGGTTTTCGCCGCTCCAGCGCTATCTGTACCGCTACCGGCCAAAACAAAAAAAGGGCAACGGAGTACGGCGACACTTAAAATTAATTAAAAAAGCAGCAAAAAGGCGCAAACGCAATTGTCGCGCAGCTTCACTTCATGTACTCGAACTTGTTGGTTTTCAGCTTGTTTTTGTTCATTTGGCGAGTTGTTTTTGGTGCTATTGATGCTGTGGCGATTGGCAGCTTTTGGACGCCTCATTGCAAGAGGCGGACGGAGAAACAAACCAGCTAGCAACAAACAAATGGGGAAAACAGAAACCGAAATGAAAATCAATTAGCCAAGTAGGCAGCTGCAACTGTTCGCCGGAGATTTATTTCTATATACGCGGACGGATTGTAGATTGTGCAATCCGTAATTCGTAACTCGTAATTCGTAATTCGTTATTCGTAATTCCTAATTCGACGGAATCAATAATCCTCAGCTGCGATCGCAATCGAGCGTTTCCATTTTCCAACGCACAGAAACACTTTCAATGCACCCAAATATTTTCATTCACATTCACTTCATTTACGCTCCACGTTGACAAACTCCTCTGGATTTGGTCTTCTTTTTTCTCAGCTGGGCGCTGAAACGAGAAAAGGAGAAATTCACACATTATTTTCAAATTTATTTCCCCTTCATGTGTATCATCAACAAGCATCCAAATAAAAAGAGGGGCATTTCGGGAGGGTCACATAAGCGATTTATATAATTGACGTGTCGAGTGACAAATTCGAAGCATTTGCTTCCAACAAGTCGCGTCGAATGGGATTTTAGGTTCCGACTTTTGAGGAGTTACAGCATCAGCAGAAGTGTCGTAATTCTGCCGGACAAAACTGGGAATTGGAATTTACTACACTTATTTGATATGCTACGAAACCACAAGTGGTAAATTAAGGGAATATATATAATGCTGACAGGGTCACGTTTTCGTTTGCTGCCAGATCATGTACACAATATTACTATCAACGATTTAGCTGCCAATTATTGTTAAGTGAATTTAAAGCCAATTTTGAACTTGTGATCAAATAAATGAAAATATTGCAATGCCAATAAGGGCTATACTCCACATTTAAAATAGATATATAAAACCACTAAAAAGTAATGCATAAAAACGCTTTAGAATCTGTACTTGCGCTGCTACAAAGTTTTCTTCATTTGTATTCAACGACTGTAGAGATTCCAAATCTGGACTACCTATAGCAATTAGTGCTTATTAATGAACAGAGCAGATTCTCTGCCTGAAAACTTTTAATGATGTTTCGGGCCTAACGATATTGGCAATTAAATGCCGCAAAAAGTTCCCTAAAACAATTGGCTGGAAAACAACTGTTACTGTGTGAAGGCATTTAGTGGTCCACCAGCCCGCAGAAGTGAAGAAGTGAAGATTTATGGTCTGTGAATTTGATGGAATCGAGGGAGATTTGCAGCAGAAAAGTCGGAGTCTGCTGGCGTTGGAGAATGGGAATGTCTGGCATTTCGGATGGATGGCCACTGATAAGGCGGCCGTGCGATCTGCGCCGGAACAGAATGGGGAACATCAATCATGGCCTCAATCTGTGTGTGACCCCCATCCATTTTGGCCAGAACGGATGCAGATGTAATTATGGCCCAGTGCTCCCCGTTCTTTTGGGCCCCTTTTCAGTGCTAATGGCGTATTCGGTTACAGTTTCGGCCCTGCACTTGGCTCACATACGAGTTTCGAGAGTTGCGAGAGTGCAGAAGCGGCAACAGATGTAGCTGCAGCTACTACACTCATCCATGCATGGCAGACAACATGGTTCTTTTCTATGTTTTTCACTGTTTTTCACTGTGTTTCACTGTTTTCCCCGCTTTTTCCAACCAACTTGCCAGCGAGAGCGTGAAAAAAGCAAAACGCACCAACTTGAAGCTTCTCACGCACGCGGTGGCATTTGTATCTGTATCTGAGACTGTGCATCTGCGAGTCGCGTACTAAATACTGTATCTATTGGAGATTGCAACACGTAGTATCCCGGTTTCTCTCGCCGCACAGAGAGAAAATATTACCCGCTTTGACGACGGAAATTCTATATATTGATAAGATTGCGAATATCATTAATAATATGGTATACCACATATTTGAAGTTATGGTATAAAACTCATTTGTGTCTCACACTTAATGGTTAAATACATTTAATATTTTGGTAAAAGAACCTAGGCCAAGAAATGAATGCATTTTTGATGTATGTAATTCGATATTATAATGATTTTGACATTTTTGGAATAAGATCAATGTAGAAGGTTGTGATGGCATAATTTTCTACTGTGTCGCCCTTGTTATGCTTCATGTTCCGCATTTGGCTGTGCCGCTATTTTGGGTCGTTCCCCCTTTTTTACGCTTTTCCCTTTTATCCCTCCTATCCCTCCTATCCATCCTATCCCGGTTTCCCGCTTTCCCGGTTTCCCGCTTTCCCAGTTGCCCATTTTCCCCTGAATGAACAACGGAAACCTGCCGCATACGATACGCCTCAGCGAGCGTGCAATTACCACCGCAAAATAGTGCTTCTGGATCCGAATCCAAGTACAAATACGACTACGAATCGGAATCGGAATCCATTCTCCACCATCTAAATATCATAGGTTTCTCAAACTCAAAAATAGTGCAATCTCGCCGGCAAGTGGTACTCTTCTGATTTATGGCCCATTGTATCCGACAGATACAAAACGCTTTTTACCAACACTCGAGGCCCACAAGTGGCTGCCGTTGCAGTTTGTGCCCCTTCCCCTTCCGAGTCCCAGTCCCAAACCCCTTCTGCTGCTCCCCCTCCCAAATGCCCTCGTTCACTGATTACTTTGCACTCTTCAGCAAGTGAAATCCAAGACTCAACGCCCACAGATTGAACAACAAAGAGTTGCTCAAATTTCTGAGGGGGAACTTAAGTGCAGGGGGAAAGTGTCACCCACATGCCACAGTCTCGAGATTAGAGAACAATCCCCGCTCAACTGGCTAAGGAATTCGCCAGATCGCCTTTGTTGACCCAAAGCTAAAGTAATGGAAATGATTTCTTAATAGAATTCATTAAGTTTGGCCCAAGGCACACAGTAGTTGTTTGAGTGCGCATAAGAACATATCATTTGATTAAGCAAACCAATTTAAGTACGCTGCAAAGTATTAACTAGACCCAAATAAAAAGCATTTTGACAAGAAACTGCACGGATTTGTTGCCAATTTTAGCAGAGTTTTTTTTATGAGCGGCAGAATGTTTTTCTTGTGATTTTGATTTTTGCTGGCAGATGAAAAACGAGGCAAGAAAACTGCGACGAGCAAATGTGCGAAATAAAAATTTCATAACGTGAAATTAGCGCACATAACTCGAATGCAAATGCAATTTGGGCACGTCGCGGCTGATGGGCTGCAAAGGGGGATGGTTATGCACGGGGGGAGGGGCTGGTGGGTGGCCAGAGGAGGGGGCTTTGGGGGCCAGAAGAACCCTCTCCAACAACCAAACCAACTGATGCCGCCGATGACGAGTCGCTGATGGGGAATATGGCTGGCTGAGTGCGGTTCGAGTTGCTTGGCTGCCCATAAACGGAGCAGCAGCTGCATGGCAAAACTCCTTTTCCTCCCTTCGCCCCCTTTTCCGCTTTTGAGAAGATCTTGAGCAACGGGATTTATAATTAAACATAAACCCGCCGGATCCGCAGACTCAGCGACTCGCCAAAGGCACGCAGAAGTCCATTTATGCCAATAAGCGAAAGATGGCAAATGGGAAAGGAAATAAAGTGCTCTCGAGCAGGCCTCCTTTCAATTTTGTTATACTTTTTTTTGCATTCCACTGACAGGGAATGTGTCGCCAAGTTGGCTACCTCACAGCCCCGCGAAAATCGTATCGAGAAATGAGAGCGCAAAATAAACAAATCATAAATCTGTGAAAAATATGTTTTATGGCTGTGTACATGACCGCGACCACCCAAAAATATGCCTGGATTTCTCTGGGTGAATATAAAATCGTATCGCTGCGTATCTCTGTGTATCCCACAGATGCGCAGATACATTTCGCTGTGTGTTTTGCAGTTGTCAGCATTTTCAAAACTAGATTTTTGTAGACTCTTCCCAGTTTTGTGTGTCCAATTAGAGAGAAAAATGACTGTGTAAATACATGTTTCCCCCATTCACTTGTTTGTTTGTTTTTTTTCTTTACAACCATTTTGATGGTTAATCGAGTGAAATGCAATCAAATTTACATTCGCTGCCAAACTGCCAAGTAAACTATTCGCCCCCTTCAAATACTGGCCATAATAAATGCCAATAAAAGTTCACATTTAACCCATAAAACTCCGATCGGGGAATTGCTGCCCGTACCACTTGCTTCTCCTTTTTCTGGCTTCAGCTCAATTTCAACTTTTATTGAAGTGCCAGCAGGTGGGGTAGGTGCAAAAACAACTACGGAAATCCTCTCGATGACAGGTGTAAGGGCGGGAAATACAGGTGTGTTTGCGAATGGGAGCGGAACCAGGAAGCACTTGAATGTGCTAAAACCCATTTTTGCCATCCAATTAAAATGCTGTATTTGCCAATCCACTCTGGATTAGATTGGCATTACTGAGGGAAATGCTTTCGGAATGATGTTTAATTACTTGGGATGCCTTGCCGAGCCAAATTCATAGTTCTTCGTCAATATACCAATCTTCAGACAATCTAGTTTGGATTAAAAGGGTTTTACTCGCCTTAAGATTGATGTTTAATTATTAGGAATGCCATTCTGGAATCGGACACAGCAATCATGTATTTATTAAGTTAATGTATTCCCTTAAATTTATGTATTCCCAACAAGCCCTATAAATAAAACCCTCGTCTTTGTGTTTTGTCAACCTTTGCAATTACCTTACATTGACTCGAATTCATAGCGTTCCCATTCACCAAATCACTTGGTATCCTCCTCTTTTTATGAGTTTGTCGAACTCTGCTATCTCTACTGAAGCTCCATAGATTTATAGCTGTGCAAAGCACTGTGCGTTTACATATATTTGTTCAGTATCTGCAGCCTGTCGAGCCCAATCAATTGATGGAAAATTGTTCCCGACTAAGCTCAAGTCTCAATTGTAAACCGTCGCGGAAATGTAAACACATTTATGCTAGGCAAACATTTTCCGCGCTTCCTGCTTTCTTGTGACTTGGTGGGTAGTGTACCCGCCACCCACTTTTCCCACCCACTGACCTCGATGTTGTAAATCTCTGGGTGGCTTTATCTTGAGCTCTGCGGTTCTATGGACTGCGGCAGTCAGCAGAAACTATGCCAAGGCGATGGGCACTCCGGCGTTTGGGGGGCTTTCAATGAGCGTATTATATGCGTGGATTCTGGCCAGATTAGCCGGAGATAAGAGCCCAGCGAACTGGAGAAGGCAGCCATAAAATTTGGAAGCGGAAGCCTCATTATTTGCTGGGTAATTAGCGTAAATTGGAGCCACATAAGCTGGCTCAAAAGATTGAGTGAATGGTGGACACAAAGTAATTGTATTAAGTAGCAAATTGAATAATGAAATGAAATAACCAATTAAGAGGCCCCAGGAAGTGGCCAAAACCGAAAATAGCAACCGCAAGGCAAACAAAAGCACATATGACACCATCAGCATTGGCATTTTATTTAGCTTTGGCTCTATCATTGACTAAAAACGTACGAGTATACATATAGTATGGTATAGTAAGCCAGTTACCGGTTTCAAAGACACGCAGGCGACAAAAGTTCTGTTGCCAAAAATTAAAAGCCAATTCGGGGGTTTCGGGGTAGTTGTTGCCAAGTAGGATGTGGCCGCTGTTTGTGTTATGAATCTGAATTTCTGAATCAGAACCAGTTCGGCAAGTTGCTGGCTAACACACCGAACTACGGGACAAACAAAGGCTTAGATGCGAGTGAAAAGATACTACTCGTCGCACCACATTGTGTGGAAAAGATGCAGACAGAGCGAGGCAGCCGAGTGTTGATTTCAATTGTTGACCGTAAAATGGGCTCGAGAAAAGGTGTCAAGCCAACCTTGCCCTGCTTGAAATTCATATAAAACTCAAATTTAAATGCGGAGAAACGACATAAAACGAATCACCATAAAATGCGAAACGTGCCCTAAACCAAACTTTGGAGCAGCACCAAGCCACCGAAAAAGCGGAAAAAATTAGTGCGTGCCTGCTGCAAATGGTTTGCCATGAGATTGGGCCCCCTGGAATTGTGAAGAGTCAACAACTAGTGGGCTCCACGAGCACCAGCTCCCTATCGCTATATCTCCATCACCCTGCTTCTGCTCCTGCTTCTGCTCCTGCTCTGCCTCAAGGAATTTATGATATGAGCCCAAATGAGATATGGTTATGGCTGATGTGTTTGCGTTTGTCAAGCCGAATAGGCAGACAGTTGGGCAGACTGCGAGACCCTGTTAGAAGTTAGGTAGTTAAGATATACAACTGGGATAGCGCCACCACCTACGGGTAACCTCCCACCCCATTAACTTGGCCCAAAACCCCCCTCCCCCCCAGCCACATGCGTATGCAAATGCCAGCTTATGTGGAGCAGCAACCCTAGCTGTGGCTTTATTTATTTGCCAGCGACACGAGAAGTCTCTTTCGACCTCACTATCTGTACTTTTAGAACCTCTTTTTTCGATGAATTCCTGTGGTTCTGTTGACAGTCACATTTCTGTAGTAAAGCTTCCATTCCATATATTCTAGTTCGGCTTAATCCCCATCCTGACCAACTCATCCCAGCACTTTTCACAATTTATTTGTTTTCATATATATATTTTATACGACTTTGTGGCAGAACAATTGTTTTGGTATGCTTTTGTGCCGCCGAATACTTTCATTCATCCTTTAGTTCATTGTTGTCAACATCAATTTGTGAATTTCATCTTTTCCATTTAATTGAGTTGAAAATAAAGCTGCTCTTAAATACAAATCGCTGGCCAGTGCCAAAAGCTTTTAAATGAATAATAAATCTTGATATCTTTTTCTGCAACCATTTCATTAAATGTGGAATTATCTACTGTAACTTCACACCTTTCACACCTTTTTGTGGTGGATTTTTGTGGCTTGTTGACCGTAAATAATTGCAGCTTAATTTCATTTGAGTTTAAACTGAATTTTCACAGTAACTCTTTTCCCCAGCCAGTGCTAGCCGTCTTCATTCATTATGCAAATCAAATAATTTTGTACATGTGTAGCCATGTTTTCTAAAAAACACGCACACCTTTTCGGACGCAGGCGCACCTTTCTGCTTCCGGTTTTTGTGGCGGCAGCACGTGCGTGAAAATTGCGCCAGTTGGTTTTTTAGGGCTGAGGACCCAAGCCCATTATGATTGTTGTGGCAACAGTCGTAATTAAAATGCTAGAAATTACAGTCACAGCCACGACTTTGGTGTTGGCTTTTTCGTACAGCGTTTTCTTTATGGCAATCGGCGCCTAGGTTGCATAATTCCAAGGTTGGCGAAAGGAGTTCTGGCCCTCTTTAGCTGAGTTTTTTTTTGGGCGAATGCTTGTGCAATGAACCATCGACATTTCGCTTAGACGGCTGCGAGTATTCATTAATAATTTCCAGTGAACAAATGCGGCTCTAATCTTATCAGAAATGCGTTTTCCGAGCGTATGGGGGAAGCACTTCTCCACTTTCCATTACTCATTGGGCCATTAGGGTTGCGAAATGGCTTTGGGAATCGAAGTCGGTGGCAATTTGAGCCACAATTCCACGATTCCATTCCCATTGGGATTATTAATTGAATCAATGACAAACCGAAATACAATAAACAATAACCAGGGGAGCCCTTATCGATGGGGCGCCATGTGGCGTATGCGCAATAATATTACGCATACGTTCGCTCCCATAAAATTGTGCAAGCCATCGAAATAGAAGGGAAAGCGGAATGATACAGAAATCAGCAACATTTCCATTCCGCAAGAAGTCCAAAGTGTATTGGCGTATAGCCTGCCAATCGTTATCGTTATCGCCACGGTCATCAGCCAGAGATAGCATCGCTGACACTGATAATTGACGGCAATCATTGAGCAATTGACAAGTTCATTTAAGGGACAGAGCCAAATAAACACAACAAGAATCTTAGAGCGGCGCCTACAGCTGCTCAAATTAACATATTGGTGGTCGATTGACAAGGGGATGAGGTGATAGTGTATCGCTGATAACTACAGTGAAGCTTCTTTAAGCCAAAACATCTACTACAATTGTAAAAACGAAGGGATGCCAGTTTTGAGTCAGTTGTTTTATTATTGAGACAGCTTTAGAAGTATATTCATTCAAAATGTATTTTGTTACAGAAACAATAAAAGCTAATTATAAAAAGTAATGTTTGATGATTATTAAAAATGACACATTTTAAAAGTATCTTCATTTATTATTATTATCTCGCTAATTTAAGAACAGCAGCTAATGATTTTAAAGTCTTTAGTTTTGGTACCATAACAGATCGATCTAGAGAAGTTTGACTGTGCCAGAAGTGAAAACGATGGGATGGGGGCAGTGCGAGATAATTATATGTAAATGGGGTTTTGTCGCCTGTTGTTATCGGGCATTTCGGAGTGGTTCAAAGGGTGGAACTCATTAAGTCTGGCCGAAGTCATTGAACTTGGGCGATAGGAACTCACTGTTCTGCAGCTTCTGCTTCTTGTGTTTCGCCGGAAAATCACGATTCGCTATCCTGCTGCCGCTTTTGCACTGCCATTTGAATATCCTCTTTTTTTCTGGACCAAAATGCACCGACACAAACAAAAACGACGGCGGCAGCAGGTGTGTTGTTGTTTCTTTTGGCTTCTGCTTTGTTTGTTTGTTGTTTGTTTTGCCGTGCTGTTGTTTTTTTTTCGTCGGCTTTTGCTTTGCACTTTTCTGCACTCTCTTTTTTCGCTTTTCGCAGCTGTCAACGCACCAAACGCGCAAAATTATGAGCAGAACGCTCACACATGCTCGTATTCGTATTCGTACATACACCGCACACCCACATATGCATTCGCAAACAACAACAAACGATGCCGGCGAAAAGTGTGAATTGGAAATACAACGAACCGCGGACCGAAAAACGAAGTGAACCGCGCGCGGCGAAGTTTCGTTAACGACTGAACGGCGCTCGGAGTGCGGCTGTGTTATACGCCCACTCTTATACGTGTACAGCGCTGCTGCTAACAGGCGCTGTTATTAACAGCGCTTCAATTCGCCGTAACAGCTGATTGAGAGAGAAGTTGCCGGCAATGAAAAAAACAGTATAAGCTGAAACTGGAAAACTGCATTTCCCATTTGCTTGTAGAAGAGTGTATAAAAGTGTTTTATTTCTCCGGAGAGAGTATAAGACGGCATTTGCGGCTTAAAAACAACACTAAAGTCAAGCCAAGTTTAATAGCCGTGATTAGCTACAAAAATGGATTCGCTCTTTCTTCTTTCTGAAAAATAGTAATTTTCCTTGCCTCCTTTTTCCCTAATCCCAAAACATAATCAAATCATTTAGCCAAAAACTTCAAAACTCACAATAGCTACACGCTCAAATGCCCACAATTCGTGGCCAAAAGGGGGTGGGTGGCTGGGCGCAGGACCCTTGCATTGTTGTACACAATCCATCATTATCGCACAGACTTCCGCTCAAAAAGGAAACGCGGGGAGTGGCCATAGTGCATTTACATTTGCGCCCGTCTTTGCACTCGAAAAATTCACGAACACGATGTTTTCATTTCATATCGATTAAATAATTGGCAGGTAATATGAGTCATGGGTATAGTGATATGATACTAAAGACGATGTAGGCTTTTATTTTGGATCAACAAATTTTTTTTAAAAACAACTCCATTCATTAAATTATTTACACTCACTTAGTTTTAAGAAGCGAACTTTTAATTCCCAATTATTTTTAAATTAAGGAAACTTCACTAATGATTTCTAAATGTAACCTAAGATCGTCAAGTTTTCCTCACTGATTGCGTTGCGGCCTTACAGTCTAGGTCTCCTTGGATCATCCTTCTTGCAACACCCACACACACAATTACAGTCTTCAAACACAGATACACCCAGACACAGACACGCAAATTGCCGGGTCGTGAGCACGTGTCTGGCAGCCTTCGCTGGGGATTACGGTCGAATCGATTCCAGTCGAGTCGAGTAGAGTGGAGTAGAGTCGTTCAGTGAAAGTGAGCCGCCAGGATCCACAGGACTCAGTCAGTTGGTCGTCGTCTGGTCTGGCCAACACCCCGCCCCCCTTCGGGCGCCCCCGCCGTTTCCCCTCCGAAAAATGTTGCATTCGCCAGCAGTTTTCTATAATTCGTGTTGGCCTTCTTTGGGGGTTGGCTTGACGTTTTTGGGTTTTTTTTTTTAGCTTATTTTTGTTGTGGCGGCTGCGGTTTATGCAAATTAGCAAAGTTAACATTTGCCAAATTGTCGAAAATTTCATTTGGCCAGCTCATCCTGCTGAAGGACTATTTGTTTGCTTTTGCAGGGCAGACATATAAACAAAAGCATATCAGTTACACCAAACATGTGAGATGGTTTACCTTGTGCCATTCAATTTAATACAATTTTAATGGAATTTAAAAGTGGTTATATTAATTAAGTCCCTAATATGAAAACTAACACAAGATTTCTTAGTTATTTTGTTAAATCGATTTATAAGTATATTATTTGTAAAGCAAACCAAAATCTCCTTCTACGCCACGTTTTACAGATCTTAGGTATGACTTATATCATAAGGAATATATTACAGTTTTAAACACTCTAAAAATGAAATACTTTGCAGGAGATTACTTTACTTTAAACATCGAAATCCACAAGTGGAAGCAGCCTAGCATGCGGAAATGGGAAATGCGAAAAGCCAAAAGCCAAAAGCGAAAAGAGAGAGCTGTGAAATCAAAGCATTTTCGGATTCTTTTGATCAGCAATGTGTTAGGATATAGATGTGACGCCCCTCAAAGTTGCTGCCCCGCCCCGCACAACTCCCTATTTTCCCGACTTTATTAAGGCAGATCTTCGGCTGCCAGTCCGCCAAGTGACAAAATGCACCTGCACACGAGTTTTCCCCCAAAATGAATGGGGGAAAAGTGGGGGAAAGTGGAGGAAAAGCAGAGGAAAAGCGGAGTGGTATGAGCAGCTATCTATCATAATTAGATTTCGTTCTGTGCTGAAATGTCGTAACGGGAACGAAATGCGTGCACATAAATTAAGTGTGGAGTTTTTCCAGACCGCACATTTCCCATTTCCCTCCCACAGGCACACACACACGCACACAGCAAATAGAGCGCCTAATAGGATTTTATTTAATTTCCGCCGCCCAAGGATTTTCCTAATGAGTTTTTTAACCTGCCCAGCGGAGATTTCCATCCTGGTTGGGGACTCGAACAGCGCCCAAGTGAGCAGTACATCCAGAATATTTAAATGGAAGCGAATCCTTTGGATCAGGTGGAGTCACATCCCAGCACAAACACGACTTCAGTTTGATAAACACGCTTCAGAAAAGGATGCAAAGGCCAGGAATCTGTTTATCCTTTGTCTGGTTGTCTAGGATATAGCCACTCTGCTGCCTGTCCTTCTGGTTGCTCCGTCTTTCGGCAGATGCTGCCGTTGGGTTTAGCGAACTTGGCTTGGCATTTTCTTTGTGTCTGTCCCTCCATTTTCCGGCATCCCCCGCCCCTCCACTTGGAAAGTCGGGGACAATGGCTTCGGCCAAGTGAATTGCCCTGGGAGCGCCATTTTTCACTGTATCTTCTGTATTTTCGGTGTGAAATTTATGCTGCACTTGGCTAATTTAATGCCATTTTTTCACAACATAACCGGGAAAGGGGTGCAATTAAATGCAGGAGGAACTGATATGATTTGTGTCGCCATTTGCATAAATTAGCATACAATGCACGCATTGCTGGCACTTAACCATAATTAGATAAATACACTTATGCTGCCACCGTTTGTTCAGGTAATTAAATGCATTCCGAGACAGATGTCTTTCCCATAACACTGTGTGTTCTTACTATACACTCGTGTATGTGTGATACAAAGGAATTCACTAAGTCAATAAACCCTTAAACCCACTTGTAGCGATCACATAGTCGGATATTATAAAAATTGGCTTGTGAATGAGTATTTTCTTTAAACTTAATTTTAGTAATAGGGGCGTTACCGTGGGGATAATTGCTTTTTAATTGATTTTATGCCAACTTCACTTGATTAAAGTAGTAGTTCATATTGTACGTTTGTTAACTGCCCCATTTTATTTAAATCAATATACATTTAAAAACCATTCTGCTCAGAAAGTGTAATTCAATAACAAACAAGCATTGATTTCCCAATCAATGAAATCGTTCAACTATACAAATGTGTCTGAATGTGAATACATGTATAGTCAATAACCATTCACCAGAATTTCCTATGAAATTTAATTATAAATTCCATTCGTTAAGCAAAAAACTATAAAACTGTGTAATTTTTACCAATGATAAAGGGATTAAATTCCAAAATATGGTTACAAACGGAACTAGCCCTTTTAGCAAATCAAAATCACTTGAATGAATGGCTTTTAGATCCGGGAATTTATGGCTTTTAGAAGAGTAACGAATTCTCCACCCATCACCAACTGCGCAGTAAATTCAATCAGTGCACGGCACTCCAATAAATGGCGAATCCTTTCGCTTATATTTAAATATTTGACATTTTTTGGGGGAGAAACGAGCACTTGAATCATCCCCCTTGGCCACCGAAGTTATTATAATGCGGAGAAGATTATGAATTCATTTATAATAATTTAGTTTGAGTTATGCCCAAAACACTGAAACCCACTCAGCTCGGAATCCCATAATGAGCATATTCTATTAGTCGCGTTGGTGTTCCACCCTTAAGTTCCCGGGGTTGCAAATTAACAAAGCCCGAATCCTGGACACATGTTGCATTCAAATGTCTCCTTTGCCGGAGTCTGGGTAATGCCGTGTTGTGACAAACCCCAAATCGCCAAGAACTGTCGGACGGGGAATCCCTTTGAAGCCGCCAAACATTTGCACCCGCAACCACCAAAAGCGACAAGAACAACAACTGATATTCCAGGGGGCAGGAGTGCTCGACTGCATCACCATCATCCAGGCAAACGGACAGATAGACAGATAGACAGACAGCCAGGCATGCGAAAGGATATGCCAGGAAGTTGCCTGGACTGGCATCAAAAAGCTTGGTGGCCCAACTGCCCCTGATTTCCATGGCTTTCCCTTTTCGTTTTTGGGCATTGATAACTGACACGCAGTCGAAACTGAAAATACGGGAGATGTATTTGCTTAGCATAATGGATTTGAGGCACTCGGTGTTTCGTCACTCGGCACTCGTATAATTGAAAATCGAATCAAATCGCGTGAAATTTAATCAACTTAAGAACCCTGGCAACTCGAGAGCCGGCGGATCGGGTTCACAACTCCCCAGGCGAGCGAGGAAATGGAAAAATTAGCACAAATCCATGTGATAAACTGGCTACTATTTGCTTTGAATCGAGTTACCCCCCAGCAGAGCCCCCACCAAACCGGGAGCTCTACCTCCACTGCAGGAGGATTGGCCACTAAGCGCACAGGAAGCCCATTGGAACGAATGCCGCAGCTCCGGCCCTCTGAACTCTAGACTCTAATGCACGATTAATGCCCAATCCCAGACGCACTGCCTCCACCTCCATATGCGCTGTGCATTTCCTAGTTACTACAGGTGAGCCTAGAGAACGCGACGAGAGAAAAAACACTGAATTGATGTTGAATTGATATATCCAGATGTGCAGACAGCTATTTGAAATTGGATTTCTAGAAGAAAGCTATCTTAAGTTTTATATATGTAAATATATGCTTTCCAAATTCAAGCTGCTGAAGTCCCACTGTACTTGACTTCAGATGGAGGCGATGTCGTGGGCGAATGTCGATGGCATGTCCATTTTCAGAAATTAAGCCCTATAAGCGGCTTTCATGGGACTTTGCCCACGACTCTCGCCCATCTGGCCACTTGGGCCATGTGGAGCTATGTACGTTTGCCTGTTTAGCCACTGGAAGGGGAAACGGAATGGAGCTGGAGCTGGAGCTGGAGTCACTTTCGCTGACGACCCTTTATTTGATACCATCAAAGTCATCACAGTATACAGTGTGCTATAAGCAGATTTGTCACTTCTTCACTTGTTGGCGCGACGACGGGAGTTGCCAAAGATGCGCAGGTGTTTGCTCCGGTTGAGCTCCCTGGCTTCCCGTTGGCTCAGCTCGTAGAGCTCCTTCTCCATTTGCTGAATGTGGGCTGCCATGGCCTCGGGCGGGAGGAGACTTAGTTCTGGAGGAAGTTTTACGGATACTTATGAACTTATCACCTCGGGAAACCAATCACCACTCACCATACATCCGGCGCAGATCCTCCTCGCTCTCCTCATCCTGTTCACCGGCTGCCTCCTGTTCCGTGTCCTTTTGCTCGTCCATCTCGGCGATGATGGAGTCCACTTGCTTTTGATCCTGCTGGCCTTCCTCGTCGCTTTCGCCATTGGAACTGCCGCTGCCGCGTTCCAGCTTTTTCAACTCGAATTCGATTGGGTCCTCCTCCAAAGTGTACTCCGCATCGCTGGGACTATCCCCCTTAATGGACTTCGAAACTTTATCCATATTTTCGCTAAATCATTAAGTTTGCAATAGGCTCCTTTGTTGCTTGTTGAAGTGGGGCGTGCCAGCGTGAAATCGCCTAATTGAGCTCAATTAGACTCAAGAAATTAGCTTTTATACACCACCATTTGCTGGAATGACAGGTTTAAAATGCCGAATATTAAGCCACCCTCGGTGAAAGTTTCCCAACGCCTAATGAGCTGTACGAAATTAATTGTCACCGCAGGAGGGTTGCCATCTTCAAAACGAATGCGTAATATGCAAATTTCCAGGAGTTGCCAGGGTTGCCAAGGTCAACGAAGGAAGCCCTGCAGAAAGCGTTTCACAAAGGAGTCGGCTTCTTGAAAACAATCCATCAGCAGGAGTCTTGCATCCCCAGGCAAAAATCACCTCTCCAGCCTAAGCTACTTTCCTTACAGAGGTGTACGATCAAAAATAGTTAAAGGGGGCTCTTTAGTGTTATATTGATGTACTTATGGCATGAGGAAGATAAGATTCAATAGCTTACTGTTTCATATAGATCTTAATAATATTAATAATCATTTCATAACTGCCTACTTGAACCCCTATATCTCCCTCCTTACACTCACTACCTCCATGTCCTTTGGGCGCACGTGTCCGCTCGCTTTGGTGGCGGCTTAGCAGCCAAAGGACTTGGACATGGACGTGGAGTATGTGTCCTGATGGTGACAAAGGGACGCGTGCTCATTACTCCCCCTGTCCAGCCGTGTATACCGTCTGCTTTTGTAGCTGCTTTATGGCCAAAGTTTTCGGGCAAAGTATCGTTTATGGCCGGGTCCGCGACTCATGCAAATTGAACAAGTTAAACTTTTGAGGGGTCGCATTCGCCCCACCCCAGCGACCCTCCAGAAGCGATTCCCCAGGGTGGCTGGCCTGTGTCTGTGTAAACAGTGTTTGCATCGCACAATGGGCCCCATTACGCTGCAGTTTATTTGCAAGGATTCGGCCTCCGAGCCCGTGTTATCATCCATCCGGCACGTGCCACTCGCATGGGGGGAAGGAATGGATGGGTGGGCATGTCTGCTGCTGACTTTGATTTGTTCAAATCGCTGCCTAATGGATGTTAACATGATGCAAAACATAAAACACACTTAAGCTGTGTGCTCTCGCTTAGTTATTTTGCTCAGTGTGCTTTTAAAGACGCAGTAACCACTGTGACAAGAAAGCCGCCTGGGGCCAAACAAACCAGACAAAGAAGCGTTGTAGTAATAGTGGCCAAAACAAACAAGCTGGCCAGAAAGAGAAAGAGGAGCAGTTGCCCAGACTAGACGATTAGTTGGCGGCAGGACATTGTCCCAAATCCGGAATTGACCCCTGAATCGGAAAAGGTCCTTTGCCAAACTGCAGCTGCACCGCTTTGGAATGGATTTGGTGCCAAGTATTGGCAATTTTAATGAACAACATTTTCGCAGCATTCAGCCATGCAAATGGCCCATTTAATTGGATTAACGCACATTTCCGCTGCGTCGCTGGACAATTTATCACAGCTTTATGTGTGTTTATGTTTATTTATGCTGCGATTTAATTATGCGCCACAGTTGGAAGTGTGCCATGCGAAGATACAGATACATTTGTGTGGACATGGAGTTGGAGATGTAGATGGAGATGGAGATGCGGATGTCTGCCCCAATGCAACTGCTCTTTCTTTCCTACTCATTGAAATCCCCTCCAGTCGCTGGCTTTCCTTCCTTTCTCGCCTGATTTACTGGCTGCATCCATTGTGAACGGCTGTCGATGGCAATCGATACGATCCATACGATCCATACCTTGTATATATGCTTTTTAGCACCGACTCCCCGACTGCCCGACTCCCCAGAAATCTGACAGCCTGGTGCGAATATCTGATTCGGGATGAATGCGGGTAATTTGAAGTCTTGTTTGCGGTTCGCTAATTTCATTGCTTCAACGTCGATTGCCGCGATTGTTGTGCATCGATAACCGAAACGAGACGGGTGAAAGCAGCAGCCCATTTTCGGCTTAAAACATATTTCGAGGCTCAAATATATTTAACACAACGCTGCTCTGGAACTACTTAACTATCGGGCATTAAAGGAGAGGTAAGGTTTTTCCAGTCCAACGAAAACGATTTAAGTTTTTATGTGTGATTAGCATATTATTAAAATCTTTATTCCCCCTCTATTAAAACAATAATAAACAAATTGAAAGCGGACTTACTATGGTTGGAGCTAACATTAATGGTGAATGGAGCATAGAAAATTAAGTATAGGAGCTGTACCCAAGCCAGAATGTCCTTAGAAATGGCCCAAGCCGTCTCAGTGTGTCATTTTCAAAAAGAGAGATTTCAATTTCAACGCTTGCAATCTGCTTTTCAATTCAGAAAGGAGTTTCCGACTGAAAGTAGTAACAATAAAATATGTGCAGAGTTACGTTATTATACAGCAATATCCAGCAATCTGATTATTTTTGCCCGAGCCCCAGGAATTGGGTGGCCTGCCAAGCGAATGAAAGGCCTCTTTTTGCTGTCAAGTTTGATGCAGATGAAAAATAGCATGGGCCCATGAATGGAGCCATGCCTGGGGAGCCGACATGGAAAGTGGAATTAGAATTGGAAATAGGAAATAGGAAAGGCTTCGGCTCCTTCAGTGAAGCCAGCCATAGACATTCCATTCTGGATGTGGCATGGGATGAGGCGGTCGGACACGGTTTAATGTCGTCTGTGCTCGCCGCCGACATATAGGAATATAGTATGAATATTTATAATAGATACTTATCTTGCACCCTTTCGCAGGACAGCGCGTCGGACTCCTTGAATTAGCGCTCGCATTTCTGCCTTATTAATTGCCCGCATACACGAACGCGAGTCCTGGCCAGAGTCCTTCGTCCTTCGTCCTTAGTCCTTCGTCCCTAGTCCCCTGGCACTCGCGTCCTTGGCGACCTGTCGCCACCAAATGCAAATGCAAAACATAAAAGGCATAAATATTAAAAGCCTAATTAATTTCAGGTCGCCGGCACTGGGACTTATATTTTATTACAAAACTGAACGTCAATAATTGCACGTAGGTCGGCCGCAGGTGTGAATTATTCCAGTTCACCTGCCTTTTTTGTCGCTGGAAAGAGGCTGGCTTGTCACTGGAATATGCTGTAAAAATGTCTAAATAATTAAAGCAATTTACAAGGATTTCGGGGGGACAGCTGCTGCACGGAAAATGATAATTTTCAACGAACAACATTTACATTCAAATTTCCCAGCCCTTATTTGCGGGGCAATTAACATTGTAGCAGCTAAAAGTGTAAATTAAATTTTTTTAATATTTTAAAAATATTTTTTTGATATTTTTTATATGATGATTTTAAAGCAATTTACTTTTCTGTAACTAGTACGTGCATATGTATTTTCTTAGATGTACTGTTTATGCCATTATTTTTTTTCACTTAAGGTAATAATTTACATACCTTAATTGATTTCTTCCTGTGTAGCTGCTAACAAGTTTTGGCGACAAGTGAGAGCAGTAGCTGCAATTAGGCACTCCAGCAGCTCGACTTGCCCTTTCGACTGCCTTTGATTGATGAGTGGCGCACTGGACCTCGTCTCCGGAGGAGAAGCCACCTAGAACCGGGACCGGCAGGATGCGGAGACCTTTGCCAAAGCTCAAACAGGTGGCAAGTGGAGGCACTTGCCTCACATCCCAGCCCCAATCATTTTGCACACACTCATGTCGAAGTGGCCAGAGCCGCCGGCTTGTCTTTCAGCGCTGCAGGTGCATTTTATTTGAGTCTCTCGGTTTCAGTCTCAGCCATTCACCGTTTGTGGCTATCAGCGATATTGATGGATAACGAGTTTGCGGTGCCGGGAAAGTGGGTGAGTGCCAAGTAGCTGGTGGCATCGTAATTCGCTTTTCCCATTAATTGATATGCGACCGTTCCGTCCAGTTGCATTATTCATATATACTCGCTCATATACAAGTATATGAGAGAAAATCTTCAGCCACGCCACGTAACGCCAAGTCCAATTCAATTTCGATATTCCAGCAGCTTGCCTTTGATCTGCTGGCCGGGTGATCCCGAGTGTCAGAAACGCAGAGAGCAGCAGATCCTTTCAGGCGGCATCCGCTTGACAAACTAGGCCCTTTGAAGTACCCAAGTTACTGTAGCAGCTAATTATGGCCGGTAATTGCGGAAGAGCGGAAAAGTGGAAAAACATTTCCAGAAGAAAACACACACATCAACCGTGACTTTCGCAAAGTTGTTAAATTTGATGAGACTCACTGGCGCTCCATGACTTCTGACCCACATCGCTGACTTCTCGCCTTACCTCGTGGCAAAAAGTCGAAGGGGATGCGTCACAGATTCACGAGTGGAATGGCTGAATCCAATGAGATTGGAAGCTGAGGCGGAGGATGAGGATTGGCGACCACCAAGACGATGTCTGCGGCAATCTTTCGGCGGCGCCGCCATTTCGTCTGACCCAGTTTTGTATTCCATGGCAGACAAATTGTCTGCACGATATGTGCGTTCTGCAGATTGTTTATGATGCTTTTGAACCTTTCTTTAAAGAAGTCGCAGAAAACACACTGTTGAGTCGCAAAAACCTCGTAGGTCAGCGGAATTGCGAACTCAGAATTCAATTATGGCCAATTTGGCTGGGGTGAGTGGGCCAACTAATGTAATGGAGATAGAGATAGCCACAGCATCGCAACACCTTGGCCAATGCCAATTAGTTGGCCTTCTGGCTTCTCCGGGCCTGGCCAAATTTCAATTAACGTCAAGAGCAATCAACGAAACTTTCCACCCAGTTTGTATCTGCCGACTGGGGAAAAGTTTGAACCCTGAACTTTGCTGCATTCTGGGCTTTTCAATTATTTAAAAACCAAAAGACCTCCTGCAAATTGCAAATTGCATAAGCTATGGTTTGGGTATATATGTAAGTGCACTGAAAATTACATTTCCGTTTTCTGGATGGGTAATTTAGTTATATTTGGTATCCCACTATTCATAGTCAAAGGTTTAAGTACCAGTTTAAGT